TGACCATGATTTGTTATACTACTAACTGCATCACAAGGGTGGTGTTTGGTGAATTAGCTAAGGGGCCACCATGAACTTATTTTTTTCTTCTGAGTGAATACAGATTTTTCTAAGCTGGAAGTTGTTGGAAATTTTCTTGAAAATAATCAGTGAAAATTTTAAAACCCACGCGGAAAAGTTCATTAGTGTTTAACTAGGGGGTGGTACCCCCTACTCACTCTGCTCGCCAACCCCCCCTCTGTGGGGATAGGCAGGCCCAGCTCTCCCCCTGGCTGTAGTTGCGCCAACCCCAGCCTCTTCCTCCCCCCAGCTGCTGGGGCTGCACCACCCCAGCTCTCTCGCCCTGGCCTCCAGGGGAGCCTGCTCCAAGGCATCACCAACCCCCACACTCTTCTTCTCCCTCCCGCCCCCTGCCGCCAGCAGAGATGGCTGGGCTGCAACCGCGCCAGCCTAGGCCCCCTCCATCTCCCCCTCTCCCCATAGCCACATCACCCCGGGCCCTTTTTCTCCTCCCCCTACCCCCTCCTGCAGCCTAACCTTAATCCTCCGTCTCTCAGCCAAGGCTGCGTCAGGCCCTGCTCTCCTGACCATCGGCAGGTGGGGTGCCCCGAGGCCTCCCATGCCCTGCACTCTCCTCCCGGCTGCCAAGCACACAGGAGGAGGGAGGCGTGGCATGGCAGCCAACATGGGGAAAGGGAAGGGAGTGACTGCGGGACGCCAGAGTGACGTGGTGACGTTACTCTGTCATCCTGCAGGAAAAGCTTTTTTCTCGGTATAGTAAGATAAGGATGGAACCAATAAGGTTTTATAGAACTTTGACTAAAAATCCCCTATGGAGTTAAGACCCTTTATAGAGAACTTCTTAAACATCTAACAGAATTACATGGAAAATTCGACTCCTGCTTCAGAACTTGATCAATCAGTCTGAAAAGTCTATAGGAAGATGATCCTCCTTGCTTGTATTCTCGAGAAGTTCTCCATAATTCACGGACTGACTATGATTTGGAAGGATCCTTCACAAGTTGAAACAGATGGAGATGGGTCCTGAGTTGCGTCTTAGGTCCAGGTCTAAGTGAGATGAGTTGCACCCATGAAGTAGCGAACTGTGGGAGGAGGAGGGAGCCTTTGTGGTGTGACGAGCCCCCCTTGTGTTTGTGGTATGTTAAAATTCACACACCAGGTTTGCCTCCTAACAGCTGAACAAGAGACTCTACGTGTGCCCATGCGGCATCAGCCAGGTATAAAGAAGAATCTGTTGGTACCTTAAAGACCAACAGATTGATTTGGGCATCAGCTTTTGTGGGCGAAGACCCATTTCCTCCGATGCAGGGAGTGAAAGGACAGAGGCAGCGTAACTGTAGTAGCACACGAAAAGAAGGGAGTTATCTTAGCAAGTGGAGGGCCGGTACTAAGGGGACCAATTCAGACAGGGTGGATATGGCCCACTCCCAACAGCTGATGTGAGTCCCAAGAGAGGGAAAGTTGCTTCTGTAGTGAGCCAGCCATTCCCAGGCCCTGACCAGCCCCAAATTAATAGTGTCAGGTTTGCTAGCGGATTGCAGCTCCGCAGTTCCCCTTTGAAGTCTGTTTTGAAGTGGTTGTGTTGAAGGGTGGCCACTGTCAAATCTCTTCTGAGTGACCAGGGAGACGGAAGTGCTCTCCTACTGGTTCTTGTACGTCACCGTTCTTGATGTCTGATCTGTGTCCCATTTATTCTTGTGTAGAGACCGTCCAGTCTGGCCAACGTACATGGCAAAGGGGCAGTGCCGGCACATGAGGGCATAGATCACATGAGCAGATGTGCAGGTGAACGAGCCCTTGACGGTGTGGCTGATGTGGTTCGGTCCTATGAAGTGCCCTACAAATGGGCAAAACGAGGTAGGGTTGAGTCAAGAGACTGGCTCGGCCTCGGACAACACGACTTTGATGAAGCTGGGAAGAGTATCCCGGAGTCGTGACTGTTACTGCTGGGTCTTTACTCCTTCCCTTTCGCCATGTCAGAAAAGCGACTGAAATTGGTTTCAAGTAGCAGTGAGTGTCGGAGTGAAATTAACGTGAGTCAGTCCAGTAAGTGAATGCTCTTACTTTGCAGAGTAAAGCATTTTTCTGACCCTTTTTCTGACCCTTCCCACGCTTGGCGTGCGTCTTGTCCCACTTGAAGTCCGTTCAAATTGCCCCAGTTTTTGGAGGGTTCCCTGGTTTGCTGCAGAGCTGGCTTTGCTGCAGTGCTGGGGGACGTGACCACCGCCTCCCATGTTTGAAAGGCTCCGTGGGACGGTCCAGATGGGCGGACTGAAGATGTGCACATTAAGATGTGGAGCGGAGCATTCTTGGCTTCCTGAAGAGCGGCCTTGGTAACTAGTTACAAAGCGGAACTTTATTCCGGCCCCCTCGGTGGGACAGAAGGGTCGTAGAGCGCCTCGAAATCGAATCCTGCTTTAAGGGATAAAGGAATCCCTTTTTAAACCTAATTAAAAGCCGCTGCGAGCTTTGCAGCATTCTTGTTAATACAAGGGGTGAGCAATGGAGTGTGGATAATGGTGTTTCTGGTGCATTTCAATCAGAGCCACGCAAATTTGATTTTTTTTCCCCCAGGGCCAGATTCTCGGCTGGCTTTCTGACTTCAGAGGAGCCGCTCTGATCTACGCCAGCGAGGGATCTGGCTCCTCGACCTAGGGGTAGCCTAGAGTTTGCACCACTCTGGCCTCCACAGTGCGATTCATTTCCAAGCCTCCAATTCTCCATGCAGCAAAGGAGTAGCAGTGGGCTCGGCCGTGGGGTGCTGTCAGCCTGTACAAGGAGAGCCTGGAGAAGGGGGAAGCATTGCCTGGCTGACAGCCCATATTAGGGATATGAAGGTTTAACTGGTTAACCAGTGGGGGATGGAGCAGCCCCTGCCTGCGGCAAGGGGGGCCGCTCCAGCCCGGCGGGGGCAGAGTGGCCTCCCCGCTACCCCCCCTTTTAATCAGTTAGCAGGTCTAACCAGTTCACTAATTAAACGGGATTTTACATCCCTAGCCCATCCCTCCTGTAGGGGCCCTCAGCAGCGGATGTGGTGCTCCCAGGAGATGAGGTTGCCTTCTGTGGAGCAGGTTGGGAATGTGATGAAACATTAGAGTTAGAAAATGCCCATTTGTCCCACCAGAAATGTTCAGTGGAAATGTATCCATTTAGCTGTCACTGCCCCAAGTCTGGGGCAGAATTTCAGGGGGAGAGGAGAGAAGTGCAGCATTCCCTGCAAGCTGAGCACTTAGGCAGCCACCCAGGAGAGATTCAAATGCACCCCAGCTGATTAGCAGAGTGCCCACAGCTGGCAGCATGTGTTTCGACTGGTGGTGCACATGCATACGTACCTTGGTGCACAAAATTAATTTTATTCCACACACAAGTAAACAAGTTAGAGGGGCCATTGTCCAGAAGCCAATAGGGTAGGCTCAAATCACTGCTCTCCTGGTTTCTGAGCAGAGTCTGGGGCTTCCACACCCCAGGTACACCATGTAACCACTGGAGAATTGACCTCTCAGGTGGGCCGGGGTCTCTGTCTTTTTTCTGTGTTGATGGCAAACTTCAAAGGTCTCCTTTGCCTTGTGAAGGGAGACGACACAAATGCCGAGACCTCGGCCCTTCTCGTGAGATGGGGAACAGTCTGGCTGGCTGCCTGCTTTGCTGCTCGCTCTGGGCTTTTCTCAAGGGAGCTTTGTATGCTTCCTGCGTGAGCTGCTTCCCAGCTCAATCCTCTTGGGAAGGATTTTCTGTCTCCCTGGCATTCCCCCAGCAGAATCCTCTCCGGGGCCGTACCGCAAGGCTCCCTCGTGGGTAGAGCATCTCAGAAGGGCTCCTCGGTGTGCCTCTCTCTCCCTGTCTGTCAGTAACCTTCCCCACCAGCTTCACCTCCACAGAGTGGCCCATGCCTGGTGCCGACATCCAGGGGTTCGTGCTTTAAGGGCTTTCTCAGCTGGTGAGTTTGTCCTCTCCAGGCCCTTATTTTTAGGACTGTGTCAATGAGCGTTTGAGTCAGGCAGGGTTGAGTCTCGCGCTGTCCCAAACATGGAAGCATGGCTTTCCCCGGTGGTGAGGGCAGGAACCCACAATCCTTCTCGTCCCTTATTCATCCACTGACTTGCCCTGCGGCCTTAGGTCTGGTTGCTTCCACTCTCTGTGCCTCCACCTTCCCTTCTGTAAAATGGGGCTAGCAATGCTTCGCCAACTCCATAAGATGCTCTGAAATCCTGGATTTGCAGGGCTACTCGAGGGCAAAGACCTTCTATAGCCTCCAGGACGTCCTAGCTGTTAGTGCAACATCGACTCCCTCTGCCACTGAACCCTTGGCTAATGCTCATCTTGGGGCAGTTTGAGAGCGGGTCATGTGTATGAGAGAGTGCATCGGTATTGTACGGAGTCTCTCTTTCAGGCTTCAGGCTGAATTTCTGCTCCATCCCTCCCCTCCTGTGAAGTACAGTGGAAAATACCGGTGGCAAAGACCCAATCGGAGGAGTTAGCTGCCGGAAGGCATCTTCCAGTTCTGTGCCTTGCTTTTCTGCCTTTCCTGCTCTTGGAAAAGTGCCCAAGCCTGTCTCCATAAATCCTTTTCCCTGCCCGCCGGAGTGCAGCCATGCTGAGCAGCCCCATTAGTAAGAATTGGCCCTGGCCAGACATGCGGCTCAGCAATCTGTACTGAGCTGGTTAGCTAAGGGCTGCTGCATAACCAGCTTTGACTTCCCTTCGGATTCATCTTTCACCAGGACGTTGGCGTCCCAGCCCTTAATGGAGCATCGAGCCTGGTTTTTGCTCCCGGGGGCCTTTCTTCTTTGTTCTGAAATGTTGACTCAAGTCTGCTCCCCCGGGATCCTCTCTGTGTGATGCTCTGTCTCCTTGGGGAGGAACTTGGGATGGGCCCCCTCCACACGTGTCGTCCATGGCTGTGGGGAGCAAAGGCAGGGGAGCGTGAAGTTGTTCGGCTGGTTTATTTCATGCTTCCCCTTTTCTCTTCCCGTCCTTAGTTGTGTACGAGCACAGAGCGCGGCTCGAACGATCCCTGCAGAAAGAGCGAGGGGAGCACAAGAAGACCAAGGAAGGTGAGTCTCTCGCGCAGCTCACCGGGTATCTGTAGGGAGTGATGCACCTGGAGGTGTTTCCACTCTGCAAGTGAATCCTCCCAAAGCCCTCGTGAGGCGGTCGGTGGGAATGATCCTGGCTTGACACCTGGGCCGTGTCCAGACTCAGGGTTTTTTTCGGGAAAAGTAGCCTTTTCCCGAAAAAACTTCCCCTGCGTCCAGACTCAAGCCGCGTTCTTTCGAAATTATTTCGAAAGAACGCGGCTTTTCTTTCGATGGCGGTAAACCTCGTTTCACGAGGAAGAACGCCTTCCTTCGAAAGTTCCTCTTTCGAAAGAAGGCGTTCTTCAATGTAAAGAGGCCGTCTTCGAAAGAGAGCATCCAGACTCGCTGGGTGCTCTCTTTCGAAAAAGCGGATTTCTCTTTCAAAAGATCCGCCTGCAGTCTAGACGCGATCTTTCGAAAGAGCCTCTTTCGAAAGAAGCCTGCAGTCTAGACATAGCCCTGGAGAAACTGAGGCAGGGTGGCTAGTGACTCACCTGAGGCCACAGAGGGAGCGGGTGGTGTGAGAGCTGGGACTGGAATTCTGGAGTTAATGGCTCCAACTTGTGTAGTTCGTCCTTGTCAAATCAACTGTCTGTCCAGGGCAGGGATGGGCAACCTGCAGCCGGTGGGCCTCATGTGGTCCCCTGTGGTTCCACCAGCAGCCTGTGCACCCCAGTCTGTCCCCCTCCCCCACACGCCTCTCGCACACTGTGGCACAGGAAGTCCCGGGATCCAATGCCTCCCTGTCCCTTCCAGCACGTTCAGAGCACTGCGGGAAAACCATTCAGGGCTGTGCCTGCTCTGGGAGGAAGAAGGAGGAGCACCAATCAGTGGAGCTGATGCCCTCCGAAAATGCTGGGAGGGGGGAGTAGGAGGCGTGGGGACCCCAGTGTGCGAGAGGTGGGTGGGGGAGGGGGCAGAGAGGGGGTGCAGGTGGAACTCCAATAGGCTGCATGTTGCCCACTGCTGGTCAGGCCTGGCCCACTGAGACAAAGGAGGGCCACTTGTGCAGCCCACTCGTTAGTTTTGGTTGCCCATCACTGGTCCAGGCTCTTGCTTTAACCCCTGTGACATCCACGTTCTTCAGACCCATTAACTAAGCCCTGCGCTAGACCTTGCCTTTTCCTTTTAAACGGGTCAACTTTTAATTGCAAGGTGACTCAGCTAGTTCACCAAAATCAGGGCTGCTCTTCCAGGTGCGCTGCTCTGACGAGGTGCCGCCCATCGATTCTGCTTCGTAATAATCGCATTCTTGCCAGCTCTTTGTTGGTGACATGGGCTACAGTTGTACAATCTCCCATTGGCTGGAATCCAGAGGGGTTTTTTAAGACGGTGAAATTGAATAGGCCTTAAGAAGCAAAAGAGCTGGGGCCTGTGTCTCATAGTAGCCCTGCCTGCTGGATGGCGGCTCGCTTTAGCCCTGCATGTGGCAATTTAACAGCTTGGGTTGTATCTTCAAAGCTGCTCGGTGGAGCAACACATCTCCCCCACTTGGCCTCCTTCCTAAGCTCCCTGCGCTTCTAGAAAGGTTGATGTTCAGCATCTGAGCGTGTTACGAGTCTGTGGATAAATAGTTGACGCAGCCGTTGGATGTCTGTCTTCTGAGATGTAGATTTTTCATAGTTTGTCAGTGGCGCTCTAGGAACGGAGGTGGTGCCTGCCAGATGGATGGCTGCAGGGCGTGCGTGGACTCTGAGCGGCTCAGGGCTGCGTGCGTGGCGGCTCTAAGAATGCTGACGGGCATTTCTCCATGGCTGGATCCTGAGAGCTATTTATTGCAAGCGAGCTTAGCATCTGATGTGCATAAAAGAGAGGCTGAGAAGTGCTGTCTTCAGTTAGCTTTCACCGCACGCTCCCCATTGTCCTGACCAGCTGTGTGCACTGCAATTACTCGTGTAGCTTCCTCTTGAGGAGCCGTAAATAGCAAACTATGTTGTGGTTTTAAGACCAAGGCACAAAGAAGCTGGCATAGTTACTCCACCGACCCAGGCTCTGAGAGGCCGCTGCATTAACTCTCTCCACGTGGACCCATCTCTGCCCAAGGGGTTTTGTTTCCCATTAGCTATTTCTCATTATTTGGGTTTTGGTAGCACCTGGGAGTTCTGTTCTTGGGCCAGAACCCTCTTGGGGCGCTGTACAGACATAGATAAAACAGACAGTCCTTGGCTCAGAGGGTGGACAAAGCATTGGCGCTTGTAACAGTTTGAGCGATCACCAGTCTAGCGCCTCCTGCTGGTTGATCCAGGATTAGCTTCTCCAGCCCTGAAGTATTGACCGGTGTCTCACCCTCAGTTACTTGTCTTCTGGGCTATTTCAGGCCCCATGTCCCTCCCGGCTCATGGTGCCCTTTCCTGCTCCACACTCTGGGGGGGGGTCTCTTTTCCCAGGGAACCCCGATCCATTGCCTGTCATCATCTAGCCCTTGTTTCCGGGGCCAGCTGCAGTCTGAAATGGCCATTCAGCATTGGCAAAGGGGGATGGACCTGCTACCTCCCTGCAACCCTAGTATCCTCAGGCCCCTGTATCAGGCCTGCAGCCTGGGAACTGGATCAGGCCAGAGCTCCTGAGCTCTGCCTGCCCTTTCCTCAGCACAGCTCAGTGTCACGAACCCTCTACAGCTTCAGGCAGCCAAGACCTTCATGCTCCACAGCTGGAACAAGAATGTGTGAGTTCCTCCTCTCCAGCAGCCCTTCTTATAGGCCCCAGCCAGGCCCTGATTGGCTGTTTCTAGCCCTTTTCTGATTGGCCCATGGTCCAAGCCCTCTCCTAGGCCTGGGTTTGACCCTTCTTTCACTGAAGCAGAGTGACTGCCCTGATCTAGAACAATTGGTGCTGTGCTGGTTTGTGCAAACCCATGACTGTTATGGGATCCAAAGTCTGTATCGGCGCTGGCTGCACTGGCATGGTTCCTTCCGGAATGAGGGCTGGATCCTGATTGGTTAGGGGAGTTATCTCTTCCCCGAGTGACTATCCCTGGGAGAATACAGGGGAGCCCTGGTAGGAATTGGGGAGATGCTCGAGAGCACTAATGCCGCATTCTTCATAGAAAGGCCCTTATTTGTGTGTTTGATTCAGTGGGAGGAGCATACAGGCAGACCTAAACAATTAACCCTCCTTCCCAATTCTAATGGCAGACGCCACGGTGCTGCGATGGGATCCTGTCCGTACCATTTTCCCATGGGGTGGGAAATTCGCCTCGCCTGCCGTTGTAAGAAGAGGACACAGTGTAGCAGACAAACGATGCACCTCCCTGAGCCTCGCAGAGCAGTGCTCCCCTGAGTGCAGTGCTGTTTGTGCTGCCTGCTGGAGTTGGGTGGCACGTGGAAATGTGTCCATGTAACTTGGCTGGATGCTTTTTATGTCAAAGTATCAACCGGGTGGCTCAGAGGCCCGAGCACTGGACTGTCAGGAGGTGCTGCAAAGCAGGACAGTGGGGAGGTGCACTGGCTACCAGCAGCAGGTGGGGATCTGCTCCAGCACCACTGGTTAACCTTAACCGGTAACCTCACTCGTGAAGATGAGGTTTACTGGCTAAACTTCACATCCCTAGTTTGGATTCCTGGAGCCAGCTGTGGCTAGTGCTTACCAGCCAGCTCTTGAGTACATCTGTGTGGTGATAAATCGGTTTGCTACAAAATGCACTGCCTCTCCCCCATGTGTATCATGCAGCTGGGCTGCTGCTCGTCTCCTTCTAGCCCGCTGCCCTGCTGGGAGAGATGGCACTGTCGCCTTAAAATAGGGTTTCTCACTAGCTTCTGTCATCTCAGAGGACCTCCAAGAAAGGCTCCGACTTTGCACTGCTGAAATGCAGCCATCCCTGGGGTGCAGAGTGGCAGCCATGTAGAACACTGTACTGGAGCGGGAAAGAGGGAAATTTTGGCCAGGATACCAGACAGGTGTAATGGGAATTGCTACCGGATCTCCAGTGGCACAGAGCAGGCAGGACCTTTAAGTCTCTTAAAAGCCATAGCCCATCCGGCTGGATCGCAGCCTTTTGCCCAGTTAGGAGTTTTTCTCCTTCTGAAAATAGAAAACAGATCCTTGGAAATTCCATCCAACTAAACTCTTCTTTCTTCCTTTCTAGATTTTTTGGTGTATAAACTAGAAGCTCAAGAGGCGCTCAACAAAGAGAAGGTAGTTATGTATGTTCCCGCGTGTGCGTGAGAGAAAGGGAGAGAAGTCCCGTCAGTATTTCCACAGCTCCACGTCAATACGCGAAGGAAGTGAGACATACGTTGGGGATGATGCTGGCATTCGTGTGTTAGGCCAGGATGTATCCCCACAGAAAGCCGCCGGGGTCACGTCATCATTCATGGCCTGAGAGCTTGTCCGTGTGACTGTTTAGTTTCTGGTTGAGGTATGAATCTGTCCTGCACTAGGCTACTTTGGACTGTGTCCGTGCGGATCCTGCTGCTGCATGTTAACAGTTTGGGTTTGTCTACATGGGGACATCCAGAAAAATTCATCCAAATAAATTACAGGTGTGAGTTTGAACCTCATGAACTCCTCTGTGAACACCCTCATTCAGAAATTAATGTGGCCTTAACTCAGTTTATCTGAATTCCTTTCCAAAGTGAATTACACTAAGAACATAACGGCTACACTGGGTCAGACCAAAGGTCCATCTAGCCCAGTATCCTGTCTGCCAACAGTGGCCAATGCCAAGTGCCCCAGAGGGAGTGAACACAACAGGTAATGGGTGAACTAGAGCTTTGCGAACAGGGGCAGCTAACGGAGTTTCGTGAGGGAGTTCTCCAGGTGAAGGAGGAGCGATTATGGGGCCCTTGGGGTATGTGGCTATCTGTAGTGTGTGTGTTTGTGTTTGGGGGCTACTTGCTGGTTGCCTGAAAGATACTGTATACTGAGCTTGTGTTTGTCTGTTTGGAGATTCATGTGCTGAGCTGAACTAAACTGAACCAAGGCCGCTTTAATTCAGAATAAAGGCGTTCACACTGGGATTCAATGTGGTTTAACTAATTCACTTCACATTCACGTTTAGTTCTTTCAGATTTAGCTTTCTGGATGTCGCTGTGCAGACGAGCCCAAACTGTTAACGCGCATCAGCAGGGTCCATGTGGACAGTTAGTCTGCAGAGGGCCAGCGCGTGGTAGACGCCCACCCCAGCTTGCCATGAACTTATCTACACAAACAATTAGCCCTTATGTATGAGAGGGTCTATTTTAGGGATGTTAAATTTAGTTTAATCAACTAATCACCTAGTCGATGGAATTTCCATTGACTAGTCGATAAGCGGGGGCGCTGCAGTGGGGTTAGCTCCCAGCCCCAGCACTAACCCTGCTGCAGCTCTACCTTGTAAATCTATACATTTAAAAGGCTGATTTGCGGTGGTGGGGACCCAATGCGAGCTGGGACAGCTGATTCCCAGCTTGCGCCAGGTCCCCCCAGCTGCGCACCAGCCTTTTAAACGTATTAAGAGCCAGCAGGTTCTTAATACATTTAGAAAGCAGAGGCGCAACATGTGGAACTGGGTGCCAGCTGGGAATCAGCTGATCCCCAGCTCATGCCTGGTCCCTGCTACCCCCTGCAGAGATGGTTCTGTGGGGAACCATCTTTTAAGCTGGTTCCCCCCAGCACTGGCTCCTGCTCCCCTCCTCCTCCTCGCTGCCTCTCTAGTCGAGGGACTAGCTGACAATCTGATAAGCTTTTGCTTATTGGATAGTTGACATTTCAATTAATTTGGGAATTGTCTCTCTCTCTCTCAATCTGGGGATGTTGCTAGCCCAAGTCCTTATTGTTTGTCCAGATCTGTAAATAGCAAACTGGGTGCCCGGACTTCTCGCCTCCATAGCGCCATGGAGGCCTGTGCGGTTTCCTGTTGCCAAACTTAGGCCAGTTGTCTTTGGAATGGACAGAATTCCACGCACCTGAGTACCAGGGAGCTGGGACGGCACAGAAGAGAGTGGTGCCTTCCTGCAGGGAAGCTGTAAACACTGTCACCCGGTTTTCCTGGTCCTTTGGGGTGCATGGCAACAGAGCTGAGTCGGGAGGAGATCAGGAGGAGCATCCTCCCCTCCCCGCATAGCCCTGTCCCAAGGGGAGCTGGGTATGTGTCACTAACAAGCTGCATGTTAAATCACCCATTCCCTGGTGCTCAGAGCCAGAGCAAAACCGCCATTGTTCTAAACGCTGCGTGTCTGGCAGGCAGTTGGCTCTGCTCGTTATTCAGTCCATGGCAGTGGAGCTGATAGGTTTCACTGCCAACCCCCGTCTGCCTGAAAAGAGGAGGGGGCAGTTTAGGGGCATCTTTCAGTGGAGGTGGGAGTCCTTTGTCCTCCTCTTCAGTAGCCCCGGCCCTTTGCAAAACAGGGAGCATGGAGTAACAGACACCGGTGCACATGCTGCTGTGTGACCAGCAGCAGCGAAAACTTCCATGCTGCTGAATTCAGGCAGAACTTTATTACCAGAGCCCCTAGGAGCCCAGATAGCTCAGGGTTTGTATCTGATTTTCACAGGCTTCCTTGGTCTCTGTGTATGGGGCTGAAATAATGCAAAAGTGGTCCCGTCCCAGGATTTTCAGCCCCATAGCTGCTGTTTGTGGTGTTAAAGCCCCTGGCAGCTGGACATGCAAATGTCAGAGCCTCCCCCCCCACACGCGCGCGCGCACCCTTCCCCATTTATATCCTCACTGCAGTTTGCAAAGTGCCATGAATACAGCAGCACAGAAAGCAAGGGGGAACTTTTATGGTCAAACAGTATATTTCCTTTTGATGCAGACATTAATAGGGTGTACTGGTGAGACACTCCTGTGGATGTGGAGAGCAGCTGCAGTTGTACTAACTCGGAAAGAATAACAAGTGCTCTTGATCCTTATGCTTCAGAGCTGGGGTCAGGAAGAAATGTATCTCTAGGGTAACCCCCACACTTTAGATTATAGAACTTCTTGTTCCTTCCCTGGAGCATCTGAGCTGAGTCGCTGCTGGAGACGGGGCGAGGTAGACTAGCTTGAACGTTTAGTAAGTTGCACTGTGACTGCTCAATACCACGCAGTTACAGCATTAGCCTAGTGGACACGCTGGCTAAACAGACTGATGGCTCTGCAGCTCCATGGCAATTGCGTGTCCCTGAAACCCATTGGGTGGTAATATTTTATGCCCTGTTGAATATACAGTTGAGCTGTGGGTTAGAGGATGGAAATAACAGTGCACTATGCAATTCCGTGTGATCTGTGCCAAGCTGCCCAAATATAGATCTGAGCAGAGACCTTGGTGAGAAGGGCACAATTCTGTACTCGCTAGCACCACCTGCGCCCGGCAAGCTCTGAATTTCCACAGGACAACACCGAATCTGGACCCTGCGTTCTACCCTGGCAACAAGAAGACTAGTAGAGAAGAGTCTAAGAGCTAGGGGGTGGTAGGTGTGGGGGGCCAATGGAAGGCAGCAGGAGGAAAGAGAAGTGCATGAAAAGAGGGGGAAGGGATCATGCTTGAGGGAACAGGTCGGAGTTTGGATCAATGGCATGAAATCCTGTCTGGTAACTTGAGAGCCAGATGGTGCCACTGGACTGTACATATTGGAGAGACCATGTTGCCTTCTGCTGCTACCCCAGCAACAAAAGTGGTGGAGCTGCAGGCAGATGAAAACCTAAATTGGTCTTGGGCCTTGAGTGCCCTGGTTTGATTAAAACGGAGTTGATTTAAAGTAGTGCAAACCGTTCTCTGGGCATGTAGTTTATATCTGGTACCTGGGACCATATCCAGGGATTTTAAACGGAGGCGGCAAAGTCAGTTCAAATATTGGCTTTTAGTTAAATTGGTGTAACTTTCATATGTAGGCGAGGGCTTTAGGGTTTGTGTTGTCTGCCTCTTGCTACACCATCCCAGTTCCCAGGGAATTCTGTCTGTTACAAAGTTCATCCGGCTGATTGTGCGTGAGACTCACAGGCTACGAGACTTACTCTACATTGACACCCTGCCCCTTAATTGTAATTAACTTCCTTGTGTGCATCTCGGTACATGTGCCAGATTCTGATCTCACTTACGTTGCTGTAATTCCACTGGAAAAAAAAAATCCTCAACATAAAAAAAAACCCTTGGAGTAGGCTGGAGTGTGCAGATTTGATGAAACATCTGCAGTGAAAAACTTTTGGTTGAAAAAAAGTTTCAAGGTTGTTGAAATGAGACATTTCAACAGTGTCAAACCAGAAAGTTTTGAGGATTTTTCTGTCTCGAAACAACTTTTCACTTAGAAATGTTAATACATTTTACACTAAAAAAATTAGTCAAAATCAAAATGACATGTTTCAAAATTATCAGATTTTGATTAACCCAAACCAAAGGGCGTATTTGGTTTGTTTTGTTTTTTATTTTATTTTTGGCTCACCAAATTTTCAAGTTTTCAAGTTGTTGTCCAATTTTTTATTTTGATTTTGTTTTTAGAAATGTCAAACAGCAGGGTGGGTCAAGAAAACTGTTTTCTGCCCAGACTAAATTAGTAATTCGATCATTTTAAACTAATCCATTCGAGCAGCGCTCACTGAGAAGTGACCCTTCTGACATTAAATGGCTATAACTCTTGATCTTATCCAGGAGACCAAACATCCCATGCTCTGACTTGCACTTGCTTTTAAGGGTGTGATTATGTAGCCACACTGATGTCTGTGTGTGGTTTTTGTCTGCCTCTGTAGCTTCTGCATTCTAATGCTTTTATGGTATTTGTTACAGCAAGACTCTATGAACAGATACGGGGCCCTCAGTTCACAGCATAAGATACTGAAGGTGAGTGCATGTGATTGCCCCTCTTTGGTGAAAACACACCCCTCTCTGCAGTGAAGACATGGCCGAATAGATTCATGCCGAGCCCTTTTAAACCTCCCTAATTGTGCTCTCCTGTCGGGGAGCTGACAGGATTGCTGGGCCCCTGAGCAATGTGTGTATGGGGCAGGGCCTTCAGCGGAAGGGGCAGGGATCAGGCTCCTAGTGCTTCCCGGATGGCGCAGCACCCTCATACCCTCCCCAGCCCTTGGAGTAGGCCGGAGTGTGCGGAGCGGGGCTCTGGCATAGACCACCTGGTGCTCCAGCGGTGATTCTAAAGGGCCCAGGGCTCTGGCAGTGGCGGCCGGAAACACTTGGCCCTTTAGAATCTCTGGGCCCTGGGGCAATTGTCCCCTTTGTGCCCTCCGCCCTCTCCATCAGTGGGCCTGCCCCCTGCTGTGATCCAGGTGGGGATGGTGTAAATGGTCATTTACCCTCCTCCCCCCTCCCACTTGGAATCCCTTCCCCAAACTCAGCACGCAGGTGCTGGGAAGACTGTGCAGTCCAGTGGTTAGAGCAGCAGAGCTGGGGTTGGGGTCCAGTGACTTGCTATGTGATCTTGGGAAGCCATTCACGCCTGTCGCGCTGCGTGACGGACCGAGCGTGAGGAGGTGTCACGGCTGTGCGAAAAGGTGTGTTGGAGGGAGGGCGCCGTGTGACTGGTGCCAAGGCTGGGGGCTGTACTAGATCCCCTGTTTTACAGGATGCTAACGGCCTGAGGCTCAGGCAGGGAGGCGGACCCAGCACCCCGGAGACCTGGCAGTGAAGCCATGGGTGCAAAGGCTCTGCCTTAGCTTGCTCATTAGTGGCAACAAGACTTTATTGTCCATGAGCCTGCCATAAGGATAGATGCTGATTGGGCCTGACGTGACATTGTACCCCTGGGGGAGAGCTGAATACCCCAGTGATCGTGGGATTAAATTGAGCCTTGATGTGGGTGAAGGAGAGGCTTCCCTGTCACACTGTCAGGAGGGTGCTGCATGTGTACAGCCAGATAGGGCTGAAAACAGAGCACTGTCAGCAGGGCCTACCCTGTCTGGAGTTTGCTCGCTGCCTGCAGACCTGGTGTTAGCTTTCCGTGTTCGAGCCGGATTGGGCTGCGCTTGTCTGTCGTACTGAGGGAGGGGGGCGTGGGCTGTGGGGGGAGAGGAGGGACGTGACCCGATAATGTCTAGAAACTTCTTCATGGGGCCCTCTCCGTGCCCAGTCAGGTTCTCACTGAACTGGACCCCTGGTACTTAGGAAGAGTTCCTGCCCAGGAGCTCACCCAACCTGTGTGGGAAGTTCAGCAGAAGGAGTCCTGCTGAGCCAGGGCCTGAGGAGAAGCACAAGGCAGGCTTCGCTCGTAAGGGCTGGTCAGAGCGGAACGCCCCGCTACCTGGGAACAGGGCTGTGTGTGACCAGGGCTCTCCCGGGGGGGAGGGGGGAGTTCTGTTTCCCCTTCCCGTCCTCTAAATCCAGCACTTGCCTGCACCCCAAGCTCCTCATCCCTGGGCCCAGCCTAGAGCCCACACCCCCATCTGGAGCCCTCACCCTCTGATGCACCCTATCCCCTTAATTTCATGCGTGCTCATGGCCTGCCATACTGTTTCCAAGCAAAAATGTGCCCTGGCCAACCAGTTTGCCCACCTCTGTTTCAAAAGATATACACTTGCTCAGTTTTATGTTTTATGATCCATAACACTGTCTTTGGTACTGTATGGTTTCCATTTCCACCATATCTGAACACCTCACCTCACCTCTCTGAGGTAGTTTTTTTTTTTTTTTTTTTTTTTTTTTACAGGTAGGGAAACTGAGGCACGGAGCTTAAGTGACTTGTCCCAAGTCACACAGGAAGTCTGAGACAGAGCTGAGAATTGAATCCTGGCTTTCAGCTAGTGCTCTGACCTATGGGAAGGATGGTCCCAGGGGTTAGAACTTTAAAATCAGTCTCCGGTTTGCCACCGTTACGTTTAAAATAAATAAATAAGAAAAATTGATCCCAGGCTAATGAAACCTCGGTGTAATTTAATCCAAGATGCATCATTTCATAAATTCCTTTTTAAATTCAACAAAAATGAATCATAAAATGTTTTGTTTTAAGTCAATGAATTATTGTACGCTCAAAATAATCTAGGACTATATTTGGCTGAAATCACATTAAACAGGGCATGTGTCATGTTACAGAAGTCCGCTGGGGAATGTATTGGGAAAGAATGGCAGCTAACGGTGCTAATTAATGATCGTTCGTCGCTTTCTCTGCTCGGTGCATTGCACCATGCAGCGTGCCGTCTCCCGGCATGTGACCATTGCACGGAAGAGAGGAGTCTGTTTACAGTTCTCAGTTTCTGGACTTAGGCTCAAACTGGAGAGCAGGGCTGGGGAACCTGTTTTGGGTTGGGGGGCCACTGACACACAGAAAAATCAGTCGGGGGCCGCACACAAGTGAGGAGCCCTGCCTGAGAAGGAAAAAGACGCTCCTCATAGTCCCCTCGCACACCAGAGCCTCGCGGGATCCAAGCTAGTAGATTCTGTGTGCTCCAGCCCTGCAGATGGGTGCCGGGGGGCTGAAGGGCCAGCTCTGACTCCCCGATGCAGGGAGATCCCTGAGCCTCGGGAGCTGGATCCAGGCAAGCCGGGGGCCGCATCCGTCCCCTGGGCCTGAGGTTCCTGATCCCTGCTGTGGAGGGTTATGGCTCACTCCCTGCTCGCTACCAGGACAGGAGTGATCCTGCTTCTGCAGCATGTGGGTCTTGGGTCATTGTCCAGATTTAAATGTGTTCCTCTTTTTGGTCGATGGGAGTTGGGGGAGCATGAAGCCGAAAGCAGCAGACGTACCTTCTGGCTCCAGATCTGCCGCTGGCCCCTCTCTCTCTCTCTCGCTCTTCCTGCATCTGTGCTTGACGCCTTTGCCACAGGCTGCAGCACGCCTCGCTCGCTCATGCAGTGTGGGTACCTGGGCACTGCACCCTGCTTGGAGCCGGGGTGGGACCCACTGCCAGCCAGCTCCTGTGGCTTTTAGAAACTGGAGATGCCAGGCAAGCCAGACTTCTGGCTTGGTACCTTGCGGTGGGTGACTCCTCCGTGTGCTGTGAAGGGTAGAGTGATAACCAAGGCTCATGGCTTCTCCCCTCAACGTTGACGGAGGTCTCGGGCAAGGTATTTAAACCCACTGCCTGGCTTTCCCTCTTTGTTCCTGGTATTTTCCACTTCTGAGTTACAAGCCTTTGCGAGCTATGGCATTTGCACTAAGCAGAATTTTTCCTGAGGCAGATTTGTAGCTGACCACTCCCCCGGAGAAGGTAAATTTAAATGATTTCAGGCCCCTCGTAAGGGCTTTTCACAAGCCGTTAAAGGCAGGCAGGGAAAGATGCGCTGGGGGGAGGGGGGAAGGAGCTGGCCAGTGGGTCTGTCTACACTGCAGAAAACAGAGTGTTGTGCAGGCAGGTGAGCTACCTTGAATTAAACCAGCAGTGAGGACACAACAACTCTGCTAGCAGCTCGGGTTGAAGCCAGTAGAGCAGCCCAGGGTTCAATATGAGCAGCAAACGCCAGTTAAATGCCAAGTTGCCATCTCTTCACTGCTGTTTTATCTTCAGTCACTAACCCAAGTGAGGGTGTGTCTAGACTAGACTACAGGGTTTTGTCGACAAAACAATACCTGCGTCTACACTGCTGCTGCATTCTGTCGACATAACGTCGACAGAACTCGGCAGTTTTGTCGATGGCTGTAAACCTCATTCTACGAGGAATAACGCCTTCTGTCGACAGAACTCTGTCAGCAGAAGGCGTTATTGCATCTACGCTGTCCTTTGTGTCTACACTGTCGTGTCAACAAAGTGTCTTGCTTTGTCGACAGAACTGGATGTAGTCTAGACGCTCTTTGTCGACAGTATCTGTCAATAAAACTTGTGTCGACAAAAGCCTGTAGTCTAGATGTACCCTGAAGGTCCCGCTTCTTTGGCAGTGTAGAGAAACCCTTAGAAATCTGGATTCATTTCCTGACTCTGCCACAGTCCACCTGGGTGACCTGGGCAAGTCAGCTAGGGAACAGCAAAGAGAGATCTCCTCTGTTCAGTACAGGAGCAGTCTCTCTTCTCTATGCCGTGTCTACATTTCAACTGGTGCCTCCCGATGCTACTGCCATACACTTGAACCTCTTTAATCCAGCAATTTTGGGAAATAGATATTTCTGGACCATGACTATTCACCATAATGAAGGGTGCTGGGGGTGGGGGTGCAGGGTCTGGAAGGGAGGGAGGGTTCAGGAGCGTGGTAGGGATGGAGGTGCGGGGTCTGGGCAGGCCTCCAGAGAGGAGGGGAGGCTGCCCGCCCCCAGAGCCGCTTCCTCCTCTGCCATGGTCCAAAGCACGGATGTTCCCAAATCCTGGGAACCCACATTATGGAGGTTCAAGTCAAATCCTAAATTAGCATTGGGGTGACTCTGTGGAAAGTGGGACGCTGTTTTCATGAGCTGATTTATTATACTGGGGCCCTCTTCTGACTTATTCCAAAAGTTGATTTCTATGGACCAAATGTTTCATGTCAAACCGTTCTCCGGGGTCTTTATCTCTCAGAGGTGCTGGCTGCCTGCGACCTTTTCCTCTGTACTGAACGTCTGTGAGGGCCTTCGTGACTTCTCTCTCTTTACCGCATTGCTCTGCGGATGATTGCTTTCTGCTATGGTACGTCCCATTGTTTTCTCCAGCCGGCAGGACGACCCTAGGCACTGATGGCATTTTTAGAAAGTTATTGAAGGGAAACAGATTGGAATGACTGCTCTAGGCCTGCAGAGTAATTGTCTTGATGGGCCTGGAGTTCCCCCTGCGAGCTGGTTGATTTGTGTGTGTAATTGGTGCTGGCAAACTAAGTGTGGAAGGACTCCGTGGGTTACTATGGGAACCCCAAAGGAGGTGAATTCTGGTTCACTGGGTTTGAGCAAAAGGATGTCACAACTTGTGGTGTTCTCTTGTGTGTGCGCGTGGGGGGGGGGAGAGACGGTGTTCAAATTATTTCACCCTGCGGCTTTGAAACCCTACCCCCTCCGAACCCAGCCCACGAGTCTCCTCAGGGCCCCCTTGTCCCAGTGCCCATTTTAAGATCTATCTTTTGCTAATAATTATGAAATAGAGCAATAGCCATTGTAACCATATGATTTATAAGTTCCTTTAATAAACCTGTAACTGTTTAAGCTTTAACCTGACTCCTTCAGTTGCTGTAATAGAACCAAGCACAATTTAAAAGAACTTCAGCCGGTCATAAAGGGACAGACATAGGGAGAGCTTGGGCGTTTGGATCTGTGTCACTCCCAGGTGACAAGATCCGTTGGGGCACCTTTCCAGCCTTTCCCAGGCTGCCCGCTGCGAAGGAACTTTGTGTTCTAGCAGTTAAAATCTAAGGTGTAATAAGCTCTTCCTACACACTGGGGCGTCTGTTAGCCTGTTTGGCTACCCTCTGCGAAGGGACTGTGGTCCTAGCAGTAAAGTCACGGACGTTAAAAACTTTTGGGGCTCCTTTCAGCCTTCTGGGCTGCCCGCTGCGACGAGACTTCGTGTCTTAGCAGTCAAAGACTTAGGAGACATACTCACTCACACACACTGCCCTGACCGTCGGCTGACAGGGGGACTCGCCAACTCCAAGCTGACGGAACTAGGGGAGAGGGGAGCCCCTCTAGCAGTTCAGTGCAGTGGAGGAAAGAGCAGCTAGCAGATCTGGGGGTAAACCCAAAGGAGATAACCAAAGTCAATTCCCCACGCAAGAGCTGTGTGCGTGCTGGGCAGGCAGCATCAGGCAGGGGGACTTTGTCCCTGTTTCAAGGCACGGGACTCAGGAAACGTGGCTTTGTAGATCAAACACCCACCATGGAAACCTAGAATGTCCCGTAAGAGCTCTGGAAAGGACGTCTGGTTGGTGCAGGGTGCTGCATGTGTCTGGCCCAAAGTGAGGGAAGGCCGTGATCTGTGCTTCTAATTTCCCTGGGATGGAGCATTGCGTAGGGTTGCCAGGTATCTGGTATTGACCCGGACAGTCCGCTATTTTCTCCTCCTGTCCGTTATTTTTGGTTAAACCATTTGGCAACCCTAGCATCGGGTGAAATCCATAAAACAGACCTTAGTGCAGCAGGCGGTTGGACGGGGGGCAGGAGTATCTCCAAGAAAACACTTGCTAAATCCATCGGCCGGTGGGAGACTAGGGACAAGAACTGGTCCCCCTCCCTCTGACCAGAGTGCACCATGCGCTGCACTAAACTTGATGGCCTCCATGGCCAGTTCTGCAGTTAGTTCTTCCCTCTACTTTTACTTGGAACGAGGAAGTTATGTGCCTTGGCTTCTCCTGCTCTTCCTCCATCAAGTCCCTCCCTCAGCAGGGGCTAGCAGCTCTCTCCTTGATGTGTCTGGCATTACTGGCACCTCACTGCAGGAGCCAGCTTCATGAGAAACCCTCCCTTCTCCACCCCTGGGGGAAAAGAAAGCAGAGAAGGCCTGAAAGCACATCTCCCTCCTCCCCTCTTTCAGCCTCCAGCAAGTCAGCAGGAGGTGTCTGCCAACCAAAGCAGGCCCCGTGGAGATTTCTGGGCTTAAAGGGCCAGGCGATTTTGGGGCTTGCTGCTGGTATTTATAATGGGTGTGAGCCAAGAGCCTGGATGCAAATCCACTCATGAGTTCCTAGTCCCATATGGGAGCTTTGTGGCCTCTGATTATGCCCTGGGGCGGTGCTGTTTAGCGGTTGGAACACGTTGGAGGTCCGAGTGAAACAAGCCGGCGTGTCAGCCCTGAATCCTCTGGGACAAGCTTCGACCGCCCAGAAGCCATCATTGAAAGCGGCCTTCACAGCCTCAGCCTGGAAGCTGGGATTGCGTGGAGACTGAACCCTCTCACCTGGGCAGCTGTCTCTCCAGCTCTAGGGCACGTAGAGTGTGTGGATGGTCCTTGTGTCCCTGGGCAGAACAGATGCCCCCAGCCTCCTGGGTTCCGGTCCAGTGCCATGCAGCACTGTGAGATCTGCCCTACAATCGTAACTGGGCCTGGCGGGTCCACAGTGGAAACGGGTCACGACATGCCACTGCTGTGGTGAGGGTGTTTCAGCATCCAGTGTAGCTACAGCGGAGCGGGGGCTGTTACTCTGTAGGCGGGTATAGCATGTGCTGAATGGGGGAGCAGGCCAGGAAAAATACCAGCGCTGGATGGACTTTTGACTTTAACTCTGTTCCTGGGTGTCTGGGGGCTTTGGAGCTGGGCTGCAGGGAGGGTCCTGTACTGGGTAGATGCTCCAGAGCGGGAACTGCAAATGCCGGCCCCACCAGTGCTTTGGAAAAGCCCCAGCGGAGGGGATCCGTCCCGGTGGCGGTTCACTTGCACCGAGCCTGAGTGTTGCTTTTCTTTCCCCTTCAGAACCAGCACGAAGACATGAAGAAACAGCTGCTCGACCTGCAGCTGCTGCACAACGGCTTGAAACTGGAGCATCGCAAGGCACTGGAGACCCACAGCCAGAAATACTCGCAGCTGCAGCAGGAGAAGGAGAGCGAAGTCACGGGCTTGCAGGGTGAGCAGGGAGGGAGCTGGGCTCCAAGGGCATGGTGAGGAGGGGGTGCTGCTGATGGCCTGGCTTGGAGGAGCGGGGGGCTCTTCCTCCTCCAGCTCCCTTCCACGAATGCTCAAAGGATTCTGAACACAGTACAGGCTAGTTGGGGGTGGCTGGAGGGAGGGAGGCCGGGTCAGTGGAGATGGAAAGCTGTTTGATGGCTTGTACCAGTGATGGATCACATGTGCCCCATCGGGGGGGGGCAGTATGTGCGGCATGGGAGACATCTGTGTTTACGGCTACTCGTGCAGGGTTGCCAGATTCTGCTGGTTTCCGTCAGTATCGCTTTTTTTTTTTTTACCATTGTTACTAAAGGGACACTGAAGTGAGGTGGATGCTGATTACACACAACACTGACTGAGAGCGCCGGGCTCTCCCTCCGCAGCCAATCAGAGTGCTGCTACGATTCATTTGGCACAGCCCGCCAATTCTAGGTAAACAAGCAGAGTCAGCAAAACTACCCTGTTGTGGGAGACAGTCTTGGATATGATGATCTTGCAGGCCACGGAGACGAAGGAGGCCCCTCATGCGGCCCGCTCGTTAGCCTAGATTGCCCATCACTGGTGTATACTGAGTGTATTTGGGTCTGCCTGGTTCCCAGTGCATGCACCCTCCCCCGCTACAGCTGGTTGGCTCTGTCTGCCAGGAGGCCAAGGAGAAAAGGGTTCAGGCTCTGTGAATGGCATCTCCCCCCAGGAGGATCGGGTTGACCCTGTTGGCATGGGACAATAGGGAAGCTTGCTTGCGTGTCACCCATGTAGAAATTGCGCTGTGGATAAACTGAAGCTGTTGGGCCGAGCGGTCTCGCCTGCAGAGCTGGGTGAATAATGGCGGGTTTGGGTCACCGGCAATTCCAAAAAACACAAGAACATTGTTTTGGGGTTGAACACAATGTGTCTCGTGACCCAAAACGAAACACCGAGGCTTGATGGGTTTTTTTGAGTGGTTTTATACACTTTTGGATTTTTAAAACTAATGGAATTGGGAGTGTCACACTTAAAGTGAGTTTAGGCTTTTTCTTCGTTTGGGGTGTAGTCTGGCTTGATGTGAACCCGCTGGCAAAACTCACAATCAAAAAGGGTTTTAATGTTGCCGCTCTGCATTTTTCACTATGCAGGGGAAAGGGTTTAGCTACAAAATTTCACCCAGCATTACCAACTAAGCTTCAAGTGTGTCACAGGGGAGCTCAGTGAGGAGCCTGATAGGTAAAATTTGTCCCTGCTAATTAAATGATGGACATTTTAAGTTGGCTCTAGTTGCATGGGAGGCACGTGGCCCCTGCGGCAGCCAAGTCTACAAATAGCCTGGAACAGGCAGGATGGTACTGAAATTATAAATTAATGGAGATTGCCTATCTCCTAGAGCTGGAAGGGACCTTGAAAGGTCATTGAGTCCAGTCCCCTGCCTTCACAGCAGGACCAAGTACCATCCCTGACAAATTTTTGCCCCAAATCCCTAAATGGCCTCCGCAAGGATTGAACTCAGAACCCTGGGTTTAGCAGGCCACTGCTCAAACCACTGAGCTATCCCTCCCCTCTTCTAGTCCTTCCTCATTGTGGCTTGGTATTGCTACTACGCCCCTCACCATGATATTAGCCAGAGTCCCCCTGATGCTGCGTGGTGTGATGCGGACACAGTGGAGGGGAATGGCTTGCTCCGAAGAATTGGCTGAATCCAAACTCAGAGGCATTGCAGTGCTGTGGTGCTAGTCAGTGTGTTGCCTTTGTGGTGTGAAAAGAGGATGGCTGGCAATGCTGTGAGAGTGGTCTGGCTGGGAGTCGCTGCCTGTGTCCCCCTTTCTCTGTGTATTAGCGTCTGAATTCTCACTTCACTGTTGTTCTCTGAAGAGCTGAAGGCCTCCCCCATGGCTGAATCCAAACTCAGAGGCATTGCAGTGCTGTGGTGCTAGTCAGTGTGTTGCCTTTGTGGTGTGAAAAGAGGATGGCTGGCAATGCTGTGAGAGTGGTCTGGCTGGGAGTCGCTGCCTGTGTCCCCCTTTCTCTGTGTATTAGCGTCTGAATTCTCACTTCACTGTTGTTCTCTGAAGAGCTGAAGGCCTCCCCCATCCCCTCTGAAGAGCTGCAGCCCCCCCCCATCCCCCCCCCCCCATTCTCTCTTCTGTCTCCTGTTTCCCATCTCTTGCTTCACAAGTGGGGGTTTGATTAACTGCAGGTGCTGAGTTGGGTTTTGGGATGTTGAACACAGAGCGACGCTCCTCGCCTTGGGAAGGGGCGCCCTTGGTCCTCGGCGTTCTTTCACTCTCTAAAGAGTCTGTGAGATCTTTTTGTGGGGGGTGCTGCCGCTGCAGCTTTCATCACCTTTGTCTTACTAGCATTCACTCCGTGTCACTGGGTTGCTGCAGTTCGGAGATGGTTTGCAGGGTTGCCGTGCATATCACGCAGCCACCAGTGACCGGTTGACTCCAAAGTGGTTCCCTTCACATATTCACACGTACCACATCTGACACAAGTACAAACAAGCACTCAACCGGGTCCCCCGTGCAGGCCAAATTCTCTGCGGTAGCCCTGTGTGGTTTTGTGTGGGGTAGTCACCCCATCGTGTATCTCGTGGATAAGGAGGATGGATCCTGCTGGCACACTTCTCCATCACAAACTCCACCAAACCGATTCTCTCGGTACACAGCGTCTACACAGACCTGTGTTGCCATCTCTTTTCTCCATAAGGGTTTGTAGAACAAATACGGCTTCCATTGTACCCCTTCCCAGCATGAATCCGCCCTGATCCTTCCAAGTGTCCACTCTTCCATGCAAATATTTTTCATTCATCAACTCCCATACTTTCATGCCATGTGGTATCCCCTTCACTTGGAGATAATTTGCACACAGTGTCGTATCTCCTTAAAGTTTTAAAAATGCGCATCAGCAGCTTTTATACCATTCACTCGCGTTTTCTCTTCCTTAGAGTATCATTGAATTGGGGATACCAGTGGTTAACCGGTTATCCAGTAAGTGTCACCCTTACCAGGTGATGCTTACTAATTAACTGGTGGTCGGGCTTGACCTGAGCCGGGCGGGAGGTTGCCCTAGCCTGGTGGGGCTGCCGTTTAACCGGAAACCAGTGAGTTTCACCTGGTAAGGTTAACTGCTGACATCCCTAGTTCAGGGACACGCTCCAGCTCAGTTGGAGCTGCCTGTGGCGTGGCCAGCCAGTTCGGGCTGGAGCAGCCCTCCTTCCCACAAGGTCCCATTTAAATGGTTAACCAGTTAAATGATTAAATAGGATTTTACATCCCTACATTGAAGTAACTTGTAAATTGCTTAATATCGTCTCTTCCCACTGACTTTAGTGCATCCACATCAGCTCTGACCCAGGGACTTTCTCCTCTTTCCTTCTCCTACATTCCTCTGTGTCTTCCTCCTCCTGCGTGCAGTCTGTTTGGTTCCAGTGTTCTTAGATCTTCCCTTGGGTTCTCCTCATTCTTCCCTCTCTTTTTTTTTTTTTTTTTAAATAACCATTGCAGGTGTTATTGATTTGAGTCACCATTTCTTTGCAATGTGCCATGGTCGTTTCTAATGCATTTTCATCCTGTCACTTTCTCTCTGGCCCAAGCGCCTTTGTATCTTACTGCATCTGACTTTAATAAAACCCCGGGGAGTGTCGCCAAAGGGTCGTCAAGTCAGGAGCATTCCCCGTGCATGGGTACAGTGTAGTGACAACACCCAATGGGACTCTGAGGCCATGTTGATTCTTCACCACTCCACGTGCAGTTGGCATGTAACAGGGTAGAGAAAGGATGGCCTAGTGGTTAGGCCCTATTGTAGTTCTTGGAGGACCTGGGTTGAATTCTCTGATCTGCCACTGGCTTCCTGGTGTGACCTTGGTCAAATCACTTGGCCTCAGTTCTCTTTCTATAAAATAGGCCTGCTAGGACAGTGCTATCTCACAGGCATGCAAAGGATAAATATGGAAGGAGCGTGATGTGCTTAGGTTGTATGATGGGGAAACAGTGAAAGACCCTTGTGTAGAGTGGACCGTCACGAAATTACCTGATCTGAATGGACTGAGCAAAGAGACCTGGGCCTCAGGCTCTGAACTGCATCAGGGGTTTCTCCCACTTCTAGAACGTTTCTCCATTTAGCATTTGCGGGTGGTCCAGGCAGTGGCCCAAAAGCTGGTTCTGCCCAGCCCCGAATGACTGGAGAGCAGAGGAGGAGCCGTACCGTGCACCCCACACACTGAAGGAAAGCCCCTTCAATTAGCATTTGAGCCCCCGTCAAGATAAGCATGGTGGATGAGTGAAGGGGTTTAACTAACCAGTTGCTCCCATCTGTGGATTTTGGGTGTTCCTGGGATTTGAGCTCAAGCGGCGGAGCCCCCTAAGTAACGCAGCGGTGGAGCCACAGGGCAATGGAGTTGCATTTACTACAGTCCTGGGGGTATCAATTAACCTCTGGTTAAGCTGGAGCTCAGAAAATCCAGACCATGCTGTTTTAATATTTTTAAACATTCTTGGCCTAAATCACTAAAAGCTGCGATGATTTGGAAAATGTAACTAACTTACACTCGCTGTTTCTTGTATTCCCTCAGAGCCCAGAGGTCCCCAGTCAAGATATGGGCCTCATTGTGTTCACTCTTTACCCTGAAGAGCTTACAGTCTGAATAGACAAAGAGTAGGAGGGGAAACTGAGGCACAGAGCTAGGAAGTGACTTGCCTAAGATTGCACAGCAGGTGGGTGACAGAGCTGGGAATAGCATCAGCTATTTCTAAATCCTAGGCCTCTGCTTTACCCACTGAACCACACTGCCTCTCCCTTTCATTTCATTCAGCAAGGAGAGTGAAGCTAAATTAGCCAGAGTCACTTCCAGTTGTACTAGTCTAGCATTGCAGCATCTGGGTGTCCTGCGTTATAGGAGAATATTTAAATGGAATCTTCTCACCCCTCTGTAAACTACTTTTTCATTAACCTGTTTTTGTTTGGATATTAGGCCTCATAAATTCTAACACCAAAATTTTGGAGTAAATTAAACCTTCCCTTTTTAATTAGTGGTGCGTGTATCTAAACTGCTTCTCATGGTAAAATTGCTGCGGGGAATGCTGATGCCTTTAATTCCTGCCAAGTGTTTCTATTTAGTTCAGTTTTTAATTAGGCATGAGGTTTTTGAGGTTCATTTCTTGCCCCTGAATTGGATCAGAGAAAGCAAAAACTGCTGATGGTTTTTTTTTCCCAGGGTGGAAAGAGAAACCCTACATGCAAGCTAAATAGATAACCCAAATGTTTAATTCCATATCCCTCTTAGAAAAACTAAGCGAGGAAAACGATCCTCTATCAAAGCAAAGGGGGAATAAAGATCAGGAAAAAACACTTAGGGGTGGGGAAAAAAACCTACTCAAGGAGTCTGACTTCAGCCTGTGATATTGATATTCAATGCCCATCTTCCAGGCGGCTCGTTCATTTGGTACAATATCATTCCTGTATTAACTCTAAGCTCGCTGGTAAATCTTTCCTTTGTGGGAGGCTGGTGTTGGAAACCCTGGTCTCTGAAAAAGCAATGGGCTACGTCTAGACTGGCATGATTTTCCGCAAATGCTTTTAACGGAAAAGTTTTCTATTAAAAGCATTTGCAGAAAAGAGCATCTAGATTGGCACGGACACTTTTCTGCAAAAGCACTTTTTGCGGAAAAGCATCCGTGCCAATCTAGACGCGCTTTTGCGCAAAAAAGTCCCAGTCGCCATTTTCGCTATCGGGGCTTTTTTGCGTAAAACAAATCTAAGCTGTCTACACTGGCCCTTTTGCGCAAAAGGACTTTTGCCCGAACGGGAGCAGCATAGTATTTCCGCAAGAAGCACTGATTTCTTACATGAGATCGTCAGTGTTCTTGCAGAAATTTAAGCGGCCAGTGTAGACAGCTGGCAAGTTTTTTGCAGCTGCTTTTGCGGAAAAACTTGCCAGTCTAGACAAAGCCATGCAGTTTAATGGGGGGAAGCAGGGGAAGAGGCTGAAGGCTAATGGCACAACAACCATCTTACTTCCTTCACACTGCACCAAGGCGTGTGTGTGTGTGTGTGTGTGTGTGTGTGTGTGTGTGTGTGTGCGCACCTGGGTGTGTGTGTGTGTGGTTTCCCACAGCCAGGTTAACACAGAACTGACTCCTCCTGGCTTTCTTGCACCCTCCTTTGAAGCAGCTGGTTGGCAGAGAGATTGGAGGCAGGCAGATGTACTGGATTGGCCCCCTGGTTGGATGCGCTCTGCAGTTGCTTACATTCTTGACAAGCGGTGGATGAGCAATAAAACGGCCGTGGTTCACCAGGGTTAGCACCTGATAGGCTGCGGCTGCTATTTTTACCTGCACTTTCTGTAATCACAGCTCCCAATAACTGGGAACAGCCAGCAGGAGCTGTGATGCCCCCATACCTGCAGGCACACAAGTAAATACGGTGGCGTCGGGGCCTCCCAGGGGCTAATCAAGCAGACTGGATCCAGCCCACAAGCCGGTATTTGCCCACCCTGGTGCTTGAGAGTTGACTGTACTCTGTCACAGATACCTGGCCTGAGGTGTCTTCCTTCCAGAGAAGAGGCTCTGGTGTTGCTACCAGCCTGTCAATAAATGGCAGAACAGCTGAGCTGCTAGTGAAGGGAATCCTCCTATTCTGACCTAGCAAAGGGCGTAAAAGGGCTGTTGTGTGGTGCTTCATCTGTGTCCAGAGGAGGGAGTTACTTGGGGCGACAGGAGGGGCTGGTGGCTTGTATCGCACAGGACATTCCGGTGGTGCCGCTTGCTCTTCTTCCTCATGCTTGGAGAGCCCCGGCGTTTCCATCTGGGAGAGCGGGATGTGAGCGAGAAGCGGCGCTTAGCTGAGCTGTCGTGTTCACCCGCGTCCTCTCTCTCCCCTTGCAGATACTGTCTCCAAACTCCGAGAGGAGAGCAAGCTCCTCCGGCAGGCCCACCAGGATGTCCACTCTCAGCTCCTTGATGCTCAGGTAACGGAGGCTGGGCTGTCGCTGGGGTCGTGGGACGGTAGTCGGAATGCACGGGCCTGATCCTGAAGTCAGGTGTCTCTAACCTGCCAACTGGAGAAGGCTTCCCAGCGGGATTGCTGGCCACAGGATTGTGCTTGGGAAGCTGGTTTGGCCTAGTGACTCAGCGGGCAAACACCCTCACCCTAGTGGCCTTCTAAAGTGATGCGCTTGCAGCGTGCTTTGCGATGGTGCCATCTTGGCAGCTGCTCTCCAGTGGTCTGCAGTCTCCAGGGCTAATCCTCGCTCGTGTGGCAAGCGGCTCTTCAGGGATTGGCTTTCATTGGGCGTTTGTGTGAAGGGCCCAGCTCCCTAACTGAGGTGCGGCGTCAGGGCCGCAATGCAAACACCAAATGGAAAATGCAGGCGGTGGCGGCAAAGGTGATTTGGTTGGTGGAGCAGGACAGCGGCTTTCAGGACCAGGAAACCTCTCTGCGCACTGGGCCTGGCCAAGCCGTTGGAGTCACAAGGATCCCTGCAGTGTGGCTGAGTCAGAAGAAAGCATTAACTCACCTCTGTGTGGGCAGACGTCCTCCCGCCATAACCAGCGCGGGTCATTAAACCCAGATCTCAGGAACGTTTCCATCCCGCGTGGCGTTCGGTCACCTTCTGCCAGCGGCTACTGAATTAACTGCAGGGAGCAATAGCAGGGCAGGGCAGTCCTGCCCAGGGGGACTTTCTAGGAAATACAAATAGGAATTCAGCTATGGTAGAAATGGCTCTCTCGCTGCTTCGTGCGCTGGCACCTTTGCAAAGGGGGAGGCCTTGTACACACCAGTTGCCATTGCCCACTGTCAAGGGAGGGTGGAAGTTTTGAGGCCAGCGGGGCCACGAGGGAAGCCTGAGCAGCAAGGAGGATAGAACGCAGGCAGTTTTCCTGGAGAGGTGCGTGCTGTCACGCTCCGGCCTCCACGCGGCTCCCGCCGCTCCCCAGGGGAGGCGGGGGAGGATGCCGACCCCTTTCGGGCAGGTAACCAAAGGAAAGAAGGGACCCAGGGGGAGATCAGTGTCTTTCTGAGGCCCTCAAAATGGGCCAGGCTCTCCAGCGGCTTTGTCGATATTTCTGAAGTCCTGTCACTGGCTGAATTAGCATTTTCTGTTGCTAATTAACAGCCTGTTGTCAACCGCTCTCCTGGGCCGGGGGCTAAGCTCAGAAGCACAGGGCTGGCTGTGCTTGCATGCGGCTGACAGCGGATCCTTCCCCTGTGCCAAGTGCTGTGCATGCGAAGGCCTGGAGGGCAGGGGATTTTTCTTCCCTGAGTTTTCAGGATTGTTCTTGTTTCCTGGCCTGCTCTGCTCTGGATGGCTCCAGGAAGCACCATCTTTGAGAAGAGGTTCATCACATCAGGCTCATTACCTGAACCCAGCCCCGGTTGTTGGCTCTTATCCAGGTCGCTGGGATCTGAAAGCAGCCACTTTTGGAGCAGCTGTTTGCTGGCCCAGTTGGCAATTTAATTGGATGGCTGAGGAGCACCTCAGTAGGTTTTCCCTGTGGGCAGGTGCCCATGTCCACACCACCACTAACATGCTCCGGCACTAGCCCGGTAGCTGAACTGCCTCCTCCACATGACTGAGGCAGCTTGCGCAGGCCTGGTCTGTGATGTGTCCAGTCTGAGGAGGAATGAAGGACGCCAGTCAATCCAACGCCCTCCTCTGAGGCCTGTTTCTGTCCCTCATGAATCCAGGCAGAGTTCCAGCAGCATCTGCTCCTTCCACCAGGGAGCGGTGGGCATTGTCCGGAGTCCTCCACTTGGTGTCTCCACCCGGCACCTTTGTTTTGCGCCTTTGCCCCTCACTCCTGTGTCTGTTGTCCCGAGAAATCAGCCGGGTGCTGGTGCCTCTCCCTCATTTGTGGGGGCAGGTCTTTTGTTTGGGGTAGGCCTGCCACCTGCCTCCTAGGATTCAGATAGGCCAGCACTGTTAACCAGCCCCACAAACAGCAGGTAATGCCAGCTTCTCCAGACGTGTTGACCACCCAACAGCCTCTGGCTGCTGCTCAACCTTTGCATGCGTTCGTCATTCTGGCTTCTTTACCAAAGCTCTCAGAAATAGCTTCCAATGTGGATTGGGCGATGGAATTTCCATCGATTAGTCGATAAGCAGGGGAGCCGCAGCGGGGTTAGCACCTGGCTCCGGGAACTAACCCCTCTGCAGCTTTGCCTTTTAAATATATTAATAGCCAGTAGGCTCTTAATACATTTAAAAGGCTGGTGCATAGCGCGAGGGACCCGTTGTGAGCTGGGAATTGGCTGTCCTGGTTTGTGCCAGGTCTTCCCTGCTACGCCTCTGCTTTTTAAATGTATTAATAGCTAGCAGGCTCTTTAATATATTTAAAAAGCAGAGGTGCAGCACCCAGTCCCCGCTACCCCCCAGCCTCTTTTAAGCTGGCTCCCCCCAGCACTGGCACCAGCAACCCCCCTGATAGAGGCAGCAAGGGTGGGAGGGGGAGCGACTAGTTGAGGGACTAGTCACTTATATCCCTATGATGTGGGCACCTGTCCCCTGCAAAATAGGTTGAGACAAGCCACCTCATGTAGACCATTGAAGAGCAGTTTGGAGAGTGACAGCTTTTCAGGAGCTGCCTGGGTCAAAAGCTGAGGCGCTACAGGTGAGAGTCGCCTTTGTGGCTAACATATTCTTGTCTGGGTCACTCAGGGCTGAGAGCATTTGCACCGTGGCAGAGAATGCAGGATCAAGGGTGAATTATTCTCAAAAGCAGCTCTCAAATGCTCTTTCATGGGTTCTGTTGTGGGTACATAACAGCAAAACAGTCAGACAATGTAGTGTATTTTGTGTGTGTGTGTACGTGTACAGAACATACATGCACGCATACACAGATGTTTTAAAAAATAGGTTAAGACTGTTAAGGGTTCAAAGTCAAGTAGTCAGAAATTAGGAAATGCCAAAGCTGAGTTTTGCCGGTGTTACCTTGTTTCACTGCCTGATGCTGTGCCCTGTGGAAAACAAGTGTGTGATCATGTGGTTAGACCAGCAATGGGCAACTTGGGTTAGTGGGTGGGCCGCATGAGTCGCTTCCTTTGTCTCAATGGGCTGCAAGATTCTCATAACCAAGACGGTCTCCCAGGATAGGGGAGTTTTGCTCACGGCACTTGTGTATGTAGAATTTGTGGGGGGTGCAGATTGAACAGTCGCAGCACTTTGGCTGCGGAGCGGCTCTGAGACAGTGCTGTGTGCAATCAGCTTTACGTATATGTCCCGTTAGTAATACCAGGAGAGGAAAAAGCAACACAGATGGAAACCAGCAGAACCTGGCAACCTTGCATGTGGGCACCGGTAAACACAACGTCTCATGGGCAGAGGTGAAAGTAAGCGGGTGCGCCCAGTGCTCAGCTCCGGCAAGAGCCTGCGGTGGGCTATTTAAAGAGCTGGCAAAGACCCGGTTTGCAATAGGACAGTTCCTGTAAGAGATGTTAAGTTACTGTCACTGCTGCTCCTCACGGGCCACGCACAGAGCCCTGCGGGTTGTCCACCACAGGGTTAGACTATCATCAGATCTTTATGCACGGAGGGGTTGAAGTTAGATGCCATTGACTTTGTTGGTCCCAGGATTTCACTCTTGGTAACTAAGCAAGTGGGTGATGTACCAGGTTCCTGGCACCAGCCAGCAGTTCTTTCTATTGCTGCAGTGTTGGTTTGTACCAGCCCTGCCTTCGTGCTGCAGGCGACGGGAACGTGTCTACAAAGGGAACGTGCATAGCATGTTGGTTACCCAGGGCTGCAGAGCACTTGGCATGCCGTTGTGACTCAATAGGGGCAGTGAGTAGCTGGTGTTCTGATAATATAGGCAGGTGAAATGAAGCAGAAGGGCTAGTTGACTTGCCCAAGGCCTTGCAGAGTGAGTCAGTGGTGGAGCTGGAGAAGAACCCAGGAGTTCATATGTGCAGTCTTCTGGGCTAGACTCGAAATACACTGTGCTCTACGAGAAGCTATTTAAAACCACCTCCCTGCATGCTGGGTTTGCTAAGATGCCATCTCTCTGCTTTGTTATCAGTTAGCCAATCTTCCCCACCCTGCTGGGTTGATCATGTACCTCACAAGCCCTTCTCCACTTCCTTTCCTGTGCTGTCTGGTGGGCTGTTCTTTTAAAACACACACACACATGCCATCTCTCTGCTTTGTTATCAGTTAGCCAATCTTCCCCACCCTGCTGGGTTGATCATGTACCTCACAAGCCCTTCTCCACTTCCTTTCCTGTGCTGTCTGGTGGGCTGTTCTTTTAAAACACACACACACA